TAATTGATTAATATGCACATTCATTACTATAATAATAATTAATTATAATGATAATAATTAATTAATATGCATATAGGCGATTCCACGTGAGATTTATAGTCGAGGTTTAAAATTCGGTTAAAATTCGGCAAAATTCCTGTACCGTACTAAGTGAAAAAAAGTTTATCCTTATGGGTGAGTTTTTTAATCACGAAGTATTGTTAAAATAATTTACAATGTCTGATAGCAACAATTTTGTAAATTTGTTAACTAACATTAGTTTCAATATTGCTAGTATTTACATTAAGTAAAAATGTGAGAGAAATAATTAAAAAATAAAGAAAAGAGCTGTAAAGAGACTTGGTAAAAATAACAACAAAATATTTTGTTTATATAAAATTGTTATTAAAAATATAAAATTTGTTTAATTAATTATTGATTTTGTTAAATATTAAAAAAATACATTATCTTTAAAAAAACTTAAAGCAAACACAAATCTGAAATATCATCTTTAAAACAAGACCAGGAACGTCGAAATCGGTTGAAATTTGTTGGGTCTATGTTAATTTGTCCACGGCCCACTGTGTAGAGTAGGTCAGGTTGCGACTTCGAGAAGGGGGCAAAATTCTGGAAAATAGTCAGGTTGCGGGGATTGCCTGTACTACAATTTACCTTTTTTATATTCTCTTCTTCCAATATAAGAGTCCTTTCGAGGGTCCTTCAGGTTTTATGACTTTTTATCGCAAAATAAATAACCTGTATATTACAAATATAACATTTAAATAATAATTATTTTTTTGAAATACAACAATTTTTAATTTTGCAATGAAAAGCCATAAAACCATAGAAGATTCTACTGTCCTTGATACTTTTTGTCCTTTTCTAACATACGTGTTATAAGGGTAAATCTATAAAATCGGGCAATTTCATGTTACTTATGATTGAAACCATTTTAATAACAGATAGATAAATAACTATATTATTTATAGACATCAGTGCCATTTGAGAACATATTCAATACTTTCAAGAGTATAGTTTTGTCAGCATAAAATGATATCTTCTAGAATTTATGATAAACGATAGTTCTAAAATTGAAAAATGTATGAAATGTGGGAAAAAATATGTGCTCCCTAATTAAAATTAAATTGCAACTTTTCAAAAGTGTTACTCGCTCTTTTGAATAACAGAAATTCATCAAGTTTTTTCGTTTTGTGCTTTCAGCAGTAACGCAATTTCAATTTTTTGGAATGAGCATATTACGGATGAAAAAACGAATAAATTTAGACATTATTAAACAGTGTGCCCTTAAAAATAAGGATAATATAAAATAATTGTCTCTTTGTGTTCAAGCGTGAACGATTTTAAATTTCTAATTTCTTTAATAACACATTCATAGGTTAAAAAATTCCATTCAATTTAATTTTTAATTTATGTTTCATAATTTATTACAATTATTTTAATAAATATTTAATAATATTGTTAACAAAATGCAAAAAGGCATGTAATTTATAGAGAAAGTTTTAAACAGAAAAATAATAATCTACTATATTTGTAAAATTTGTCTGAAAATAATAATAATTGTTTAATAATTTTTTTTTAAACTGAAAACACACAAAAGTACAATATTTATCACAGTTGGCTTTATCCTCGAATAGGTTTTTCGAAAATGTGACAACATTCGGCTAACGCAGATTTGTTGGAAATTGTCCCAGAATTTCAAATTTTCGAGGCCGGAAATCGTAGCAGATCCTTTTTTCAAAATAAACGTATATATGAGCAATTCCACGTGAGATTGAGGGGTCTATCCTTCGATTTTTTCTTTACTACGTTTTTGGGTAGCGGTTATAGGACTTATTGAGTAAAAAATTTTTTGAAAAAAAATATTTATTATTTTTCGAGATATTTACATTAAATAATTAGTGCAACTTTTTTTTCAATTATTCATAACTTTTTCACTTTTAGTCCTAGCAAAAAGTTTCTTAAACGTTTTTTGCTCAGAAAATATTGAAGTTTAAGAACAAAAAATTAAATTTTTTTAATTTATTTATTTAAAAAATTAAATTTTTTAATTTTTAAACTTGTTATTGGGCTCCGTTTAAGCCGAAAAAATTCATGAACATTCCTTAATGAGCCAAAGATATGTGCCAAATTTGGCAAATACACTATTTTTTGTTTTCGAGATATTAATTAATTAATTAATAAAAATTAATCAAAAATAAAATATTTTACAAACAAATAAAATTAGAATAATTTTAAAAACACCATTTTAATGCCTTGAAAATTCGGAATCCTGGCACAATTTTCGACAAATCTGCGTTAGCCGAATGTTGACACATTTTCGAAAAACCTATTCGAGGTTAAAGCCAACTGTGTTATAGAATAAGGAAATCTATTTAATAGTTAATTATAACGTTTGACAAGTTTAAATACATGTTTAATCTAAAATAGTCACTATTTTCATTTTCTTAAGAAAATTGAATATCTTCTATGATAGTTAAAATACATACTGTTTCAGAGATATTGTATTTACATTCTATTCATATTATATATTAAGTATAGTTAAATCTCATAAAAAAATTTATTTTCTCTATTCTAGCAAAATAGATTATTGCTAAGGCGATATTAACTATACTTATAACTATTCCAGAGATTATTTTGCTAGTTTATACAAAGTTTTTTTAGCGTGTGGGCCAATCAGGTGATTTCAACTAAATGTAGGTTATGTTCGTTTCTGATTCATATAACAGCTGCAATCATTTACAACAAATAAATGCTTTGCAAGTGTATATTTATTACAAATAAGTAAGTTATGCAAAATATATATGTGGAACAATAATTTAATGTGATTTTCATAAAATAAATATTGATTTAGATGCTCTGGAAAGCAAAGTTCATTTTTTTTACATTCGATTTTTTCGACCATCGAGATATTTCGATACATTTTCATGTACTTTGCATGCACAGTCGAATGCGTGCCATTTTTTTCTCAACGGACTAATATTCGGAAGTGTATCAAGTATAAGTAATTATTTTCTTTATCTTGAAATTCGATTGCTTTCATGTATTTTTACTATTTGTTTATAAATAAACAATTTTTTTGTAATGAAAATCAATATTTTTGCACAAAAAATATCATTAAAACTATAATTCAAGATAAGTAGAATGCCGTTTCGATAATTTCAATCGATCGATAAATTACTTTAAAATTAAATTTTTTTTTAAATAAGGTCAAAAGCATTAATTTGTTAATAACAACAAAAATATTTTTTGCAAAATCGTTTTAGAGGGTAATTGTGCATATATAGGGGAATGGTGTCAGGGTTGCCCTGTTGAAAATTCCTATGTGAGAACACATATGGGATCCCATCCAGGATCTCTTGTGAGTTCTTATGTGGGTTCCCATACAGGTTCACACATAAGATCCTGTATGAAAAGGTTCCTGGGATGAACTTGCGTGAGATCAAGCGCACGATCTTATGTCTCTGTAAAAGCAATAACACAGGATCCCATGAGGTTTCCTGTGTAGGTTCCTATATGAACAACACGATAAATAGGAACACACATGGGATCTTATCCGAGATCTTGTATGAGTTCTTACATAGGTTCTCACATATAAGAAGATTAATAGCAGCTTAATAAGATTTTATAGAATGCTTTTATATATATGCTATTAATCTTCTTATATGTGAGAACCTATGTAAGAACTCATACAAGATCTCGGATAAGATCCCATGTGTGTTCCTATTTATCGTGTTGTTCATATAGGAACCTACACAGGAAACCTCATGGGATCCTGTGTTATTGCTTTTACAGAGACATAAGATCGTGCGCTTGATCTCACGCAAGTTCATCCCAGGAACCTTTTCATACAGGATCTTATGTGTGAACCTGTATGGGAACCCACATAAGAACTCACAAGAGATCCTGGATGGGATCCCATATGTGTTCTCACATAGGAATTTTCAACAGGGTGGACACTTGTCAGGGTTGGACACTTGGCTTTTTTTAAATAAGAACACTAGCGCCACCTGTGTGCGTACGTGACGAATCTTCTAGTAGTATAACCTAACTTTTTGTGGCATTACATTTTTGGAGAATCAAAAGTAGCGTCTCTTGTGACTTCGGTGTTATTGTGGTGTTCTGTGACTGCAATCGTAACAAAAACAGTTTCAAAACTATCAGAGATCCTGGCTAATTTTTTGACGTTCTGTAATTTTATTTTTTAAATTTGTTTCAAATACAACAATTATTGGTTCAAATGAGAGGTGTGTAAAAATCTCGAAACTCGATCGAGTATTTTCGAGCTTTTAGTTTTTTGATTTAAGTCGAGTAGGCTTAGTTCGAATCGAGCTGAGTTTATTTAACAGCTCGAAGTTTTTCGAGTATTGGAATGATTTCGATTACTCGAATTATTTTTTGAATACCAATTGAAAAGTTGTAACAATGTAATCCTTTTTAAATTAGTAGTTTTCTATTGATGAAAGAATGCAAATTCGTTTACCAGTACAATAGTAAAAATTATTATCTATTAATCGAAAGAAAGCGTTGCACATTTTTTTTTGACTTTCCTTATATGACTCAGCCCTGAGACCTGCAATAGAATTTTCTATGGCGCGCAGCGTTCTCTAGTGGTTATGTAATAAATTACTGAAGCTTGCTACCCACCCCCTGGGGAACGCTGCACGTCCTAAAAAATTCTATTGCAGACCTCAGGACTGAGTCGTATAAGGGAACTTGAAAATATACTGCAACGCTCTATTTTTTTCAGTGTACAGGTCAAACTTTTTTCCATCTTATTGATTAAAAGTTATACCTGTTTGAAAATCCACTGTTCACAGTTTTCAAAAAATTCAATTTACTCCCCCTCCCCGACAGTTTTTAGTAAAACCTAAGAATACTTCGTGGTTAATGTACTCACCCATAGAGCTAAATTTCACCCCATATTTTGCCACTCAGAAGTTTGAATAATGCTTTTTTAAATATGTTAATAAATTATCAGAATGTTTGCAATTTTGTTTCAGTTGGAATGAGGTGATAAATACAAATTAATGGAGATGGGCAGCTTTATTATAACTTATGGTTACCTAATTGACAATGTACGGCCCTAGGAAGAAAGTATGGTGGTTTGCAATTACCTCTCGTATAATAATAATTTTTTTGCAATTTGTTTTCAATTTCTTATGTTCTGACCACGATGCTGATGCCTTTTCTAGTCCTCGAAATCCACGAGAGAAACATTCTATTTTCGATAACGTAATAACTTTTTTATTTGAAGGGCTTACCAGGTGGGATGCACAATATCTAATTCACATTGCTAAATATGGATACACATACGAAAATACCTTAGCATTTTTTCCACTTTACCCAATGACAATTAGATGCATAGCTATGTTAGTAAGAATAGTTTTCTTTGTTCTTAATGATCATAGCGTAATAGTCTTGACTGCCATTGGCATTAATTTAATATTCTTCATTAAATCTGCAGTAATTTTATTTGATCTCAGCTTGAATGTTTTAAAAGATGTTTCTTTAGCCTATAAGGCAACAATACTATATTGTTTAAATCCAGCAAGTATTTTTTTCTCGGCTGCATATTCTGAATCAATGTTTGCTTATTTAACATTTCGAAGTATGTTAGCTAGTGTTGAAAATAATCCATATATATCTTTACCATTAAGTCTGTCGACTTTAGTTCGTTCAAATGGATTAACTAATTTAGGCTTTCCAGTTTATAACTGGGTGAAAAGTATGATGAACACCGCTGTTCCTAATTTTGTTTCCGAATATAAATACTATTCTTCAAAATGGTCTATAATTTTTGACTTCAGACACATTTACCTAAGTATTTGCCAGATTGTGACAGTTGTTTTGTTATCAATAGTTCCTTTCTGTCTTTTTCAAATTTATAATTATTCAAAGTTTTGCATTCCTCAGGCAAACGTCACTGACTTGCCGCCCTATATTGTACATTATTCTATAGAGAACAATCTTGTTCTACCTGGAAGTATTCAATTACCGTGGTGTGACTTGGCAATACCTATAGCTTATTCGTCTGTTCAGGAAAGGTACTGGAACGTTGGTTTTATGAGGTATTATCAAATAAAACAAATTCCTCAATTTCTTCTCGCCTTTCCTATTTTGTACATCATGCTTAAATTTAATATTAAATTTTTAAAAGAACATAGAAGAAATTTAGTAAATTTAAGTTTTTTTAAAACAAAAGAAAAAAATGAAAACACTGTCAAAACTTTCTATCCACTCTCAATGTTTCCTTTTGTTATACATAGTTTATTTTTAACATGCTTTTGTATTTTCATTGTACATATTCAAATTAGTACGCGTTTATTAGCGTCTGCAAGTCCTGTGATGTTTTGGTATTGTGCATTTGCCTTATCTTACAAAAGTAAGAGCTCAGAGTTTGATGAGTTAAATAATTTGCACTCGAAATGGAAAGTGTTTCTTTTGACACAGAAAAAATACTCTAAGTCAGATATATTTATTTTAAGCTATTTTCTAAGTTACATTGTAATAGGTACATTTATGTTCTCAAATTTTTTACCTTGGACGTAATGTGAACATAAATTAATGACTTAAACATTTTAATTATATTATGTTATTAAATAATAAAGTGTTAATAAACTAATAAAAATGTTAATATATAATTGACATGTTTATTTTTATTATAAAACCATTTCCTAATATTCCTATTTATATACTTTAATCCTCAAACTGTACACTGGGTAAACTGTAATAATCTTACAAAAACAACCGGATATTGATTTGATTAAAGATTTCGTTGTATGTATAAAACAAAAAATATTTCTTATGAGTCGAGTGTAGCTAACTTTTAGTACCAATATCGGTAAGGTAGAAAACCATATTTTCCGAATAACAAGGTAAAATTACCAACAAAACACTGTTTTCACAGTGTTTTTAATGCAGAGGTTAGAATTAGTAAGAATAATTGTTTTTTACTTAAATGTACGTTTCTTTAATGTATAATCATTTATTTTTGCTTCTAATTTAATTTTCCATCGTTTCTGCATCCATTTAATTGCTTTTTCTTGATTAAAAGGCCTACAAAAGTCGTTCGTTTCAGTGCGTTTACAAGCTTATGAGAATTTCGGATACCGAAAGGTGCTTGTAACCGTTTACCAGCTATTCAGCTTGCAACCGGAATCCGCGGTTTTTGTATCTTTTATTTTTTACTGGTTTTTTTGCGCAATTTTCTATTAAAGTTAACAAATTTTCAAAAGCGATACCGACACCGTGACCTCCACACCGACCTTGGAAAATCTATTTTCACTTATTTTCAAATAAATCAAAATCTTCTGCCATATGCTATTAGAAAATCTTGCACACTTTTTTTTGTAACATGTTTTTGCAATTTTAACTCTAAAAAAGGGTTATTTTGCATTTTTAACCCGAAAAAAGGGTTATTTTGCATTTTTCAGCAATTTTTTTTACGAATTTTTTGATATATACCTATAAAATTACTCTGTTTTTAAAAAGTTACTTAATGTAGGATGGATAGGGCATGAAATAATTGGGAGAGGCTCGTTCTATTTTCAAAAATCGTGTTTATTAGGTAAAGGTTATTTAAGTACTGACTATACTTTGGGGGTAGAAGGTTTACAAAATCTTACCTGTACCCCTCTACTTTGCATTCGTGCAATTGGTGATTCATCCTGGCGAAGGCCAGGTACATTAAGGGTACATACAACTAAGCCGTAAATGAACAATTTAAACATTGTTGACTACATTAAAAACAATTTTTTTCAATTTCTTATGTTTTTTTTCATTATTTATTGTTGTTTTTTAAATTTTTGGTTACGAACCTATAATATTATGCCTTATTTTAAGTGTTATTAAAATAACTTGTTTTTAACTTAAAAATTTTAACATTTCTTATTTCAAACCTAAACATCTTCTATTATATTAAGTTAACAAATTTCTAAAACTGACACCGACCTTGGAAAATATATTTTCACTTATTTTCAAATAAATCAAAATCCTTTGCCATATGCTTTTTCATTTTGCATTTTATTTACAATTATGTACAGTTGTATTATGTTTTAACTTATTCTTCGTATCCATACTGCAATTTTTGTAAGTTGTTTTATTTCTTATTAATTTTTAAATCAAAATTTTATAATTTAGTTTACTATAAGTGAAATTCATATCTGCCATATAAAATCCGACATTTAGAATTTTTGAAAACTAAGGCGTTTTAAAATTAAAATTTTGTTAATAGACCTATCTTATAGCCTAAATATATTTAACGTGTTATATATATATATATATATTTTATATATACCATTGAATACTTTTATGAGGCATTTAGAATATACATTATATTAGGTAATACGCTGTGTTTGGCCATTGTATCTATAATATTATAGTTTTTATTGTAAAATTTTGTTTTAAGATCTTTTAAACACAAAATTTTGGTTAACTTTTCGAACATATTACGACTTGTTCAAGTGGATGAAAAATAAAAGTCATCGTTTGTAAATAAAGAGGAAACTTTTCTTAGAACGTACGTAATGTAGCATAGTAATTTGCCTAATTCGCAAAGTGGCTTTTTCACCCCACCAGGTAATGGAAGAAAGCAACTTGCAGTGCTCTGGTAAAACTTATATAACTTTGCTCTTTTATGGGAGACAAAGATTGTCGAATATACATTTTGAAGCTGAAGAACTAAAGTTTCAAAACCGATTGGAATTTAGAAAAAAAATTTAATACCGATTTTACATATTAAAAAGTAAAAAAGTGTCTTTTTCCTCACTCTAATCTATAAATTAATTTTTTAGAGCACGCCATTTGATAAAGCAGTTCTTCATACATAAGGGATGTGTATTGCCGAATTTTTCACAGGACGTTTAAATGATAATAAATGACTTGAAACTTTATGTAAAATTTTGTACATTTCGTCCTTAAATGATTAGGGTAAGTCAGGGGGAGTTGGCCATAGTTTTTTTAAAGGCCTGTAAAATTAAGAAGAAAGTGATTTATGTATTAACTTTTATTACTAATTAAACATTGAACATTTAACTTACAAATAATAATAGAAATGATAAATTTTTTAAATGTAAACAATCTTAAAATTAATATTTTTTAAAAAACACGTTTGGCCATCTCTCCCGGAATGTATGGGGGAGATGTCCATAGGCGTACGGGAGAGATGGCCAATACTAGAAAATCATTCTTTGGCTTTTCGCTTTATCAGAATTCTTAATTTAAAGTGATTAATGTCTTCTTTTCTTCTTCTGACCACATTTCGAACATTTATCATTAAATTCTGTGCAATTTTCACGAAGCCAAAAGTGACAATCACACAGTGCAACAGCATTTTTATTTCTGAAACCGCATAGGGTGATTCTTATAGGTTTTTCAACGCTGAACACGAATCCGTAATTAGAATTGCTCCATCACCCTAGGTTTTCGAGAAATTTGACCTTGAAAATTGAAAAAATGCCGTTTTTAGGGTACTTTTTGATTTTTTATTACGGTACCAAAATTTTTTCTGAGGTTTTCATGATACGCATATGAAAGCTGATATCCTCCTTAACAATTTCCAATTTTGATTTTTAAAAAATATCTTTTTTTGGATGAGTTATCCTGATTTGAAATTCGCGTTGCAACGAGAAATGGGATCACAATGCAGAAGGCGTATAAAAAAATGGTCCAAAATCCAAATGTATTCTAAATCGCCTGTAACTTGTTACTCAGGGGTTTTCGGGGTCGCTGATTACGAATTCGAGGTCCGTTTTTGAAAATTCAAAATGGCGGATCCAATATGGTGGACGACTTTTTCTAAACTCGATCGAAATGGCCTGTAACTTGTTACTCGGGGGTTTTCGGGGTCACTGATTACGAATTCTAGGTGAATCGTGAAGCTCTGGTTTTTTCTCTGTCTCTCTTTAACAGTCCGGACTTACTGCTTTGCCTGCCCCGAATTCGTAATCAGCAACCCGAAAAACCCCCGAGTAACAAGTTACAGGCCATTTCGATCGAGTTTAGAAAAAGTCGTCCGCCATATTAGATCCGCCATTTTGAATTTTCAAAAACGGACTTCGAATTCAAAATCAGCGACACCGAAAACCCCGAGTCGGTATCAAAACTACACAAGAATATTCATAAAAAAGTTATATTGTACAAAACATAAAAATTGTTATTTTTTACATAATTTTTTTTGTTATTTTTTACATATAGAAAACAATTTTTTCGTTATTTTTTTGGGGCAGTTTGAGGTGCCCACAAACTAAATGCATACATTGAAACTGTATATAAGCTGCATTTACAAGTACAAATGAATTTTAACATTAATTCGTATGCAGTTTAAAGTTTGAGTCAGTTGGGGTAAATGGGGACAAAATCCCTATTTTTCACAAATTACGTAAGTTTGTTTCTTTAAAATGTAATATTTGCGGATTTATTTTTAAAGTTATTATTTACATTCCCAGGTTTAATTTTATGCAGCAGAAAAAATTTAGATAAGCTTTAAATGCATAAAACTGACTGTCCCCATTTACCGTAAGATTTAAAAAAAAATTTTGGGTAAATGGGGACAGCATAGTTTCTAAGAAAGGTTTAAGAAAAAAGTTTCCTTACGTATATTACTGTATTAAGGGATGGAAAAACTTGAAAAAAATTTGTAGTAGATATATAATAGTTGAACCAATTAAATTTTTTTTTATTTTAGTATTTTGTCTCGCATTTGAAAAAAACTGACTTAAAAATCATACAAAATTTGTTTCTTATTCCTTATGACTCCCATAACAGAAATTCACTTGAATTCTTGATTTTTGTCAATTTGGTTAATAATAACCCTAAAAATTTGAAAACTCGGAGTAAATGTAAATTTTGTCCCCATTTACCCCAACTGTCCCTAACTTTAAACTGCATATGATTAATGATAAAATTCATTTGTATACACGGAGAGAAATAGATGGTAAGAATTTATGATCTTAAGGTGGTAAAAAGAAGATGTTATCCGGTACCATCATTATGCTACTCAATACTATCAAAGATGTTACAAAAAGTGTGGTTATGTTACCCACTACTATCAAGATGTTACTCCGTACAATCTGGATAGTAACTGATAGAATCTACACGGAAAAAATTAATTCAGTATATTTTACAAAACTGTGACAGAGTAGCGGATACAGCTCTTTACGAAACTGAGTTTTGTAAAATGTGATGGATATTTTCGGATAAACTACAGAAATTTCGTTGTTTGTACTGAATATTTCTGGAGTTTATCCTGAATATTTCGTGACATTTTACAACACTCAGTTTCGTAAAGAGCTGTGTCCGCTACTCCGTGATAGTTCTGTAAAATCTACTGAATTAATTTTTTCCGTGTAGATAGCTGTTCGTATATGTAAGATCAAATGAAGGGTAGAATGACAAAAGGGGTCAAGCGCCAATTTATCGAAAATGAGGTTTTTGCATAAAAAAATCAAGAAAATTCATTTACACATTTCTGTAGAAGGATTTCCTTGTTTATTGCGTATTTAAATCAGTTTTTAATAAAAATTAAATTAATAAAATAGCCTCAAATTTACTTTATTGCAACCTGATTGAAAAACAAAAGAAAGTGGTGAGTCAATAATATTATCAAAATAACAAAAATATTATTTTTTTAGGTTTTATTTTA